TCTAGGGTTCTGACAATTGCCTGTCCCCATCCTTGTAGGCTTTAATGCTTTCCTCTTATACGCTCTTCCTTTTCAGCCCTTTATACAGCCTTTTATAATTGGTTTATTTACAAGGGTCTACTCATTGTCGGGATATGTGCCAGCCATCTTATTTAATTCAGTTCTAATCCTTTCAATAATCCTCCAAGATAAGTATTGCCAGACGAGTATTCCGTTCCAATTTCACAGCTGTAAGACTCAAGTCCTGCAGACTTCGACTTGTCAGAAACCAATAGAACAGGAGTTTGAGTTGGGATTCAAACCCACATCTCACTCCAAAACCACCTTTCCATATGTCTTCTCTTCCATCATGCTTTTCAGCCTCACTCTGCCATAGAAATTTTCATTCCTCGCCAGACTCTCAGTTGTAAAAGGATATTTCTGATTATGAAACTCTGACTTACTGTTTAAGGGATGTTAAATCCAAGGTATTTCATTTGTTTATTTTCCTCAAGTAAGTCTGGGTTGTTGTTTTCTTCCCCCTAGATGTTCTGTTCCTGTTGGGCAAGTGGATGTGCATATACAAAACTCGTCAGTGTCACAATTTGGAAAGCTAGTGGTTCAAAGTTCCATCAGTGATAGTGCCTTCAAGCACAATGGCACAGTCGAATGTAGGGCTCACAATGATGTGGGCGAGAGTTCCGCCTTTTTTAACTTTGCATTTAAAGGTAACAACAAAGGTATATTTCTTTTTAATCCAATTTAAGGGGATGTTTAGTCTCTGCCTACCATATCAATCATGACTTTAAGCCCATTCCATCACTGGCCATGCCATTTCTGGTAATACCTGCATTGCATCGTACTGTCCTCAAATCCACTAAGTATCATTCTGTACCAGTTTGTGAATAAACTTTACGCAGTAATTTTAACCATGTGCTGTATTTATTTTGTGTGTTTGTATGTTGTAATTCTAATTACTTCCCTGAAAAAGGAATAGAGAAAGCCACCAGTGGAATATGCTTACCTTATATGCAAACCAAATTAAGAAGATTTTAAAAAATCTAAATTCAATTAAAAATTTTAGTTATTAGAACTCTATTAGCACATTGGCAGACACTGTCAGAAAGGTACCACTGTCTTTTGTGAAGTCATGTTAGTGAGCTATTTCTTTAGCACCTTTAAATTTCGATTCCTGAGTGACTAGCCCTCCTAACATAAGTTCAGTGAACCTTGTGTATGAATTGATGAATTACTATGAAGTTGGAAGACAAAGAAACCAGGCACCTACATTCATAGAACTCAGTTTTTGTTTTTTTGAATTGGCAAAGACCAGTGCCAAAAAGTGGTGTATTTTCAGTTTGTGAGTAATGAGAGGAAGAATCTTACATTGTTCATCATCAGAGGCGCTTTTTCAGACAGGGCAATGAAAAGAATGCCTTAAAAAAATGCTTTCATGCTCACAGTAGAACCTTTAGAAAATACAGGAAAGTATAAAGAAGAATATACAAATACACATGAAGGAAACTTCTTAGGGGTATCTAAGGCAGGAATTTGATGAAAGGGCAAACGTCATTTACATGCTTCTCCTCATTGACACACAGAATAAAGTTATTCTGATACTATCGAAATCTCAACTTCACTTCCATACTAATCTGACTAAAAGTTGTTATTTTAAAAGATTCCTTTGAATGGCAAAAGTAAGGTAATAAAGGAGCTGAAATGCCACTTACATGACTTTGAATCCTGCCGTGGGCTGCAAGATGGGAGGTGGGTGGACCTGGACTTGGGTGAGTGTGGTGAAGAGCCAACCCTGGCAATAATGTGCTTCTACGTTCCTCTTTCATTTTAGAACAACTCCAGCCCCACACCCTGTTCACACCTTTGCTGATTGGTTTTGTGATTGCAGCTGGTATGATGTGCATCATAGTGATGATTCTTACCTACAAATATTTACAGGTAAACCATTTATTTGTTTTCTGCCTCGAGTGCTGTAGTGACTGAAACATTAATCATTAAAAGGTGATCTATCTTCCTCCCCTCCCCAGAAACCCATGTATGAAGTACAGTGGAAGGTTGTTGAGGAGATAAATGGAAACAACTATGTTTACATAGACCCAATGCAGCTTCCTTATGATCACAAATGGGAGTTTCCCAGAAACAGACTGAGTTTTGGTCAGTATGAAACAGGGGCTTTCCGTATAACCTTTTTGTCTATGCATAATAATGGCTTTGGCAACCCTAAAAGCTTCCTCTGTTTTTTTTTTTTTTCCACCTGAAAAAATAAGTGTTTTCTGTGAAATCTCACCATCATTGATAGATTTGGCATTTAAGTTATTTTTTGGCATTCGATAGAAAGACTTAAGGGAAATGTATCTAGGCATTTGTCTTTAATTCCTTTGTTGACTTTTGCAATTACACAAATGGACCTTTGGTCCCACCACCACCATTTCGCTGATTGTGGTCTTCCTCTCTGCAGGGAAAACCTTGGGTGCTGGCGCCTTTGGAAAAGTTGTTGAAGCCACTGCTTATGGCCTCATAAAGTCAGATGCTGCCATGACTGTCGCCGTGAAGATGCTCAAGCGTAAGTTTCTGCAGCCCCCATGCGCTCACATCAGCTTGCCAGACTTGCATTGTTCTAAAATGATGTTTCTGATTTTAGCAAGTGCCCATTTAACGGAACGGGAAGCCCTCATGTCTGAACTCAAAGTCTTGAGTTACCTTGGGAACCATATGAATATCGTGAATCTTCTGGGCGCATGCACCGTCGGAGGTAAGGACACAACCCCATTGCCTTTTATTATCTGTCAGATTATCAAAGGGGGGGACATTTTAATATAACTTTGACAATGCTTCATTATAAATGCCTTGCAAGATTTTTACCCAGGAGGGGTAAAGTAAATCAAAGGCTCCTCGTGAAGCTTCATGTTAGTATAGCATTGAAATCATCAACTCTCTTGTTTATCCCTTGCAAGATTTTTATTGTTACCTCTTGCTAGTACCTCCCCCCACAACAAAACAAAACTGCTGTTCTTACGAATATATATGTGGTTTTAGCATCATGAGGTGGGACCTCCAGAACATAGGCTAGTTACTTACAGGACATGTCTCTTTGACAGTGTTGACCTCTTGAATATCTCAGGAATATCTTCTCTTGTCCACAAAGTTACCCTTTTCTAGTTTTGCTGGATCATATTTAGTCACTGATGGGTCACTCTTCATCTTCATACTATAATCAAAAACAGGCTTCTAAGCCTACCAGTCCTCAAATATTCAACAAATGAGGCAAACTCTTCTCTTGCTTAAAATGTACACTTGCAGATCTGAAACATTAGTCACTCCTCCCATCATGGACTTCATGCTGTTTCCAGAAAGCATTTTTATCCAGAGGGATGAAGAGGTTATCAAATGATCTGTTCCTCGACATTTCAGAGAGATCGAAAGCCAGAGGACAGCTTTATGTAGTTTTGTAAAATCACCCTCCTAAATGTTGCTTCACCATGTCATGAATGGTTCATGAGCAATTTCTGTCCAGGTTCTGACTTCAGTTGCTTGTTATAACACCAACGAAATTTTCAACTGGTTGTGCTGAGTGCAGGTTATGCCCTGTGATTTCGGGTTTTCACCCCTTTCCAGTCCTGTCTCAGCTGGCTGTTCCGTGTGGTTGGTGCTTCTATCATGTCTCGATTTGTGCTCTACACCATTTCCATAATACCTTATGAAGAGGGTGTGAAACCACGCTGTAAACAGAAGTAAATCAAAGCTCTTCGTGAAGCTTCATGTTAGTATAGCATTGAAATCATCAACTCTCCTGTAAAACCAGCAGTCATGCCTGGCCCCAATATTAATACCACTTAGAAATGCAAGTAAAGGGAGCCAGCTTGTTTGGTTGTCCTGCACTGAGCTGCTTTTTGCTGAGCCATGTTAATAGAGAGAATTGCATTGGTCCTAAGTGGGCTTCTATCCTGAATGTTAATGGCCACGCTCACCCTTAGGGATTTGCCAGGAGGCAGGATTATCTATGGAGCTCACCTCTTTCTCACCTTTTCTTATATGCTTGTAGGGCCCACCCTGGTCATTACAGAATATTGTTGCTATGGTGATCTTTTGAATTTTTTGAGAAGAAAACGTGATTCATTTATTTGCTCAAAGCAGGAAGATCACACAGAAGCAGCACTTTATAAGAACCTTCTGCATTCAAAGGAGTCTTCGTGGTAAGACTGATTTACATAAATAGTCAGCTGTTGACAGGCAGTTCATGGGGTCATAAGGGGTTGTAATCAAGGCTGATTCTTTAAAAAATGAACCAGGGTACACTGAGGTACAAAATCAGAATTATTAAATCATTTAAATGTGATTAACAGTTTCTAGATTCAAATAGTGTTTTTAAGGATTCAATTAAACTTAAGATTTTTGATGTTTTTTTCTAATTCCACCTTGAGTATTTTTCTGGGCTTTAGTTCTATTCAGTTGAACAAATTCCGTACGTGTTTCTTTTGTCATGCCTCTGTTCTTGCATGTTATTGCACTTACACTGTTGAGCTCAGTACTATATGCATCTTTACAGTGAGACACTGTTTATTAGAGAAAATAGGAAATCCTGTCAAGCTGTCACTGGAAATTCCTTTAAAACCTTGAACAGAGTGGCAAAGAGCTCTGAACATTTCTCTGCACATAGGTTTCTCACGATCTACCTCTGAATTATTTCTCTTCCTTGCCTTTTTTCAGATAACTCATCATGTTATAAAAAGTCACAATTACTCTCTAGTACATTAAAAAAATATCGGTGACTTTTTATCTCTTTGATCACTGATATTCTGAATTTCAATGATGCTTAAAGAGCTTCACGTTCCTTTAAAATGTATTAGTCAAGTTTACAACCACAATAGATTTTTTTTTCCTCTGCCATGCTTACCTGTTCTTTCCTGATGTTGCTCGGATCTACCACTTAAGATTTTCTAGATTCATCCAACCCAACAGAAAGCATACTCATCAGGCCCAATTCTTTATACTTTATACTTCTACAACTGTGTGGTGGATTTCTCCTCTGTTTATTCTTTGGCAAGACTGTGCCTCCCAAACTTAGCTCCAGGCCCTCCAGGAAAACTCACTAAATATTATTGATGGGAAATTATATCTTAAAGTCCTTTTCTGTAGCTCTAGCTAAAGTTTTAAACCTCAGGTGAAACTTCTTAATTTATGTTTTAATCTTATGAATTTGAGTAGTGTCTAGTGGTAGTAAAATACAGTATAAACCACCACCTTTCATTAGTTTCTCCAGCTCATATGCTCTTTATATAAATAAATGCGTCATTTTGTTGTTGTTTTCTCCCCCTCCGAAATCTTGGCCCCATATATAGTTTTAATTTTCTGAAAGAATGGCCTGAGTTGTTCAATCCTGTGTGGTATGCTTTGTGCTTTGGGATCCCATATGGGATTGGAACCACCAGCATACTCTGAAGGAGATTGTTGTCATGGTGTTTCTATGCTAATCAGAAGCAGGAAGTACTAGAAATCTTGAAGACACTCCAGCCAAATGTTGCAGATTCAAGAGGTCCAGATGGTTCAGAAAATCATCCAAATTATTGGTGTTTATCTGAACCAAACTTGATTTTTTTTTTAATCTTTCTTCCATCAGTCACTATATGTTAAAGATCTCTGCCTTCCCCCATAGCACCTCTACGAAGATCTTGTTCTTTGAGTCTTCCTTGTCTCTTTCATCTTGTCTCTTGGGGCTAATTTAGAGGGTTTGAAGTAACATGGGATAATGTTTTTGCCTCTCTGATTTCCCATTAAATCCCTGGTGTCAAAAGATGATAAAATTTAACCTGACTCCCATCTCTGACTAAACACACAAAAAAAGGCCATCTAATTCCCAGGGATTGAATTCTAATGTTGAATATTAAAAACTCAAAGCATATTGAACAAGATTTTCTCATCCATAGTTGGCAGCAATTTTTTTCAGATAAAATCAGCCTATTGGGAGTGGGTAGCTAGAGCCTGCCCCTATTTCTCCCCCCATATCCCATTTTGTTCAATCATGGTTTCACCTCTCCCAGCAGTGACAGTACTAATGAATACATGGACATGAAACCCGGAGTTTCTTATGTTGTACCAACCAAGGCAGACCAAAGAAGATCTGCAAGAGTAGGTGGGTATCTGGCAAGCAATAAAAAACTTCCTTTACAGAGGATATCTCATACTTCTGTGGAATATGACACCATCTCTGGAGTAACTCCTTATCCTTTTAGTAGGGGCCAGTGCCAGTGGCAATTAAAGGGTGCAAATGATTATTTGAGGCCAGAATATGTGTGGCTGAATCCAAACATCTTACTGCAAATATGAAAATATATGCATATCAAATATATACCTTACATTTAAAAAAATGAGATTTTTTAAAAAGATTTATTTTTATACAAGAGCTGGGGTACAGAACAGAGGCGTGGGAGGGTGAAAGGATTCACCAGAGACAGAGCGGGGAGCAGAACAGGCAGATGGACCAAAAGCACTGCTGAGAGGCTCTGTGGGCACGATAGGAGAGGTCTGCCATGCCATGTGGGTATCTCTCTGGCTGGCTGGGAATCAAACCCACGCTGAAGAGGCTGCAGACTGCGCCACCAGAGAGGCCTGAGATTTTTTTTGTCTTGATCCACCTTCTCTCCTAAAGATTTCTAGAGGCATGTCTTATTTATCTGCTTGTCATGCACTGGGTAAGTCAGACGCAGAGAATTCCAGAGCTGAGCACAGATGCAGATTTTGCTGAGATAGGATTGTGTGGGACCTCCTTTTTCGAACCGGATTTCTGCGCTGCTGCACCTTCTAAAGATTTCCTAAATCCAAGATTTTGATATTGAGATTCACACCTATCTGTCCTCAATTTTGGGGAAGTGATTTGCCTTCCAGTTCACAACAACTCATTCATTGCTAGTCTTTGGTATTATGTTGTTGTCGTTGTTTTTTTGTTGTTGTTTTTTTTTTTCCTCGCCTTTAAGTTTTTAATTGCTAAGAAAATCCTCCTTCTTCCAGGCTCATATGTAGAAAGAGATGTGACTCCTGCCATCATGGAAGATGATGAGTTGGCCCTGGACCTGGAAGACTTGCTGAGTTTTTCTTACCAGGTGGCAAAAGGCATGGCATTCCTCGCCTCAAAGAATGTAAGTGGGGGTGATTTTCTATAAAGACTGTTTCTTTAAAAAATAAATAAAAATGGAGCATTTTAGAGCCATGGTTAGAATGCAGGGTATCATTTTGAAGTATGGTAACCAAAAGCAAAGGGAATTTAGTTTCTTCATGTTCCAACTGCTGTCTCTTTGGAATTTCTATTCTCATTTATAAACTTCTTTAAAGTGTAAGCCTGTCTAAATGAGCTTTCTATGAATTTTTTTTTATAGGCCATGAATTCATTTCAAACATTTAGCTTTTTAGGATATAGGAGCTTCTCTTTAAAAAATAGAGAATAATTCTATCTATCAGCAAAAGGAGGAGAGAGCTCAAGTAGTTGCAATGCTTGGTGAAGCATATGCTTGGGTCTCATTGAAGTTAGACCCCAAATACTGTATGTATGATTTATGAAGTTTGGGAGAATAAGGCATCAACAAGGATAGTAAACATTTTGGAGAAAGATGGAGATGGAAAGAGAATCATGTTACCAAAACAAGGAGCATGGTCTCTGGAAGGTGAGAGGAATTCCCTAGGAAAAGGGACTATAGAATAGAATGAGGGGGGCTATCCCTCATGGCCTAGGGGTTAAGTCTCAGAGCTATCACCACCGAGGCCTGAATTTGAACCCTGACCAGGGAGCTAACACACATATGGCACAGCAGACCTCTCCTATCTCTCCGGCTGCTTCCCTTAGCAGTGTATTTCATTAGTTCTGCTTGTTCTGCTCCCCACTCTGTCTCTGGTGAATCCTCTCTCACACACACACACCCCTCCCTGTTCCTCCAGGCTACACCCAGTTCTTCTGTGCATAAATAAATAAATCTTAGAAAAAGATACTAGAATGAGTTACAGATCCTATCCTTAAGTGTCATTGGTGACATTTCCAAATAATTACAAACTTAAGGAGGATAGAGCGTGTCTGAAATAAAGAGCTTCTTCCTCTGTCTTTGGGAGATGTCAAGTTGAAGTTGCAAAGACATTTTGGAAACGTAATAAAAGAACTTTCAAAGAGAAGCATGCAAAATAAGCTTCAGTTTAAAAAATATGATACAACTGTTATAATGTATTTCCCTATAAAGGAAAGAAGTCCTGAGAAGAGAAAAAAGCATTTACTCAAGTTGGTTTTGAAAGTGATTATAGTAATTAAAGTCCTAAGGATATATGAAACACAAATTTTGAATATCATTCAAGGCATAATTTAAATATTTATTTTAGTGCACCAAATAGTTTAAATGTAAAGAAGAAAGTTTTGGATTTTTATAACATAAGCAGCACTCTAGTGCTAAACATAGCTTCTGCTCTTTAGAATATATAAAATAAATGTAAATGATTTTCTTTTCTTCCCCTCCCCCTCTTCCCTAAAAGTGTATTCACAGAGACTTGGCTGCCAGAAACATCCTCCTTACTCATGGGCGAATCACAAAAATTTGTGATTTTGGTCTAGCCAGAGACATCAAGAATGATTCTAATTACGTGGTCAAAGGAAATGTGAGTAGTACACTCTGTTTGACAGTCCAGCAAAGGGTTTTAGTTTCAAGTTTTTATAGAAATTTTATTTTAATGATTTTTATAATGCAAATCCTACCTTTGGGAGATCATGCATTTTAGCAGTCAAATTAAGTGTACTTCAGCCAAATTTGCATGGTATGCTGAACATTACTACAACTAACATTCCGATAATAGAATTCCTAATTCTAATTGTGTAATTATGGGGCATGTGAAGGAAACAGAAATAGCCTTAATTTTCATTATAGCCTGAGAATAGCAATGAACTTGATTTTGCTCAAGTGAAACAAATGTGGTCCTGAAGGTCACCACAGGAGAATTTTATTGTGCGATTGACATGCTCTGTGAAAAAGATGAAAATCTAAGATAATGTTCAGAATTAGGTATCTGGAATGCTGGATCTTATAATCGATAGAGAGCTTATTAAATAGGTTCATAAACATAACTGGTTTCTAACAACACAGTGATTTTATTTCAAAGTGCTTTATTGCATTACCGATTTTCATTGTATCATCAAAACCAACCCTTGACATTGGAATGCAAAAGTTGCAGACACTGAGGCAACAGTAAATTTTAGTGACTTTTCTCACTGTGACCTATGACATAGGTCAGCAGAGGTGAAACCAGAGCCCATGATTTTCAAGCAGGATTCCATTAGTAAGGGAAGCCAGAGTCCTATATATAAATTCTCCAATATCTATTTCCATGGATTCATTTCAACATTTCAGATATGCTCCTGGAGATGGCAGTTTGTGTCTCCTATGATAATGGAATATTTTTTCCATCACTATGGCATTTATGAGTAGACTGTACTTGACTTTAGTTTTGTGGAAATATTGTTGGGTTTACCTCTTGATCAAAAAGTGCATTTTTATTAAATCTCTTCTGAAGCTTAATTTCATCATGAGGAGTATTAATAAAATCTAATACTCTCCATCTCAATGTACTACTCAAGGAAGAATGAAAGGTGGTTCTTTATAGGGGTCTCTTCCTGGTTATTAAGGGCAAGAGGAAGAGGTCATGGCTTCTGGGCTTAACCTTGCTGAGATTGAATCTGGCTTCATCATTTAGTGGCTGTGTAATATTTGACAAGATCACCTAACCTCTGAACCTTGGTTTTTCTCCTCTTGGGAATACTACTATCAGCTGCTTTGTAAAGTTGTTGTGAGGATTAAGTGAATTAATGTGTGAAGTCATTAAAGCAGTGTCCGGCACCTTGCAGTGAATACTTACATGGCATTGTAAGTATTCTGACCATTCTTTATAGCTGTCTTATGCTGCAGGTTCTTAATAACTTGCTGTCGGTTAGTGACCTAGTTGGAGTGGACAAGGGTGAGTTAGGCACCATCAGTCTTCTAGATTGTGGACTCCAGCTCAAGTCCTTTCTGCTGACTTTACAGAGAGCACTTATAGGAGGCTGCTGGTGATGGAGAATTTATAGAATGGGTTAAAAACAAGAATAGGCAACATGTTACTTCTCCTAAACATATATTGTAGTCACATGAAATTTCTTTGCTGTATTGAATACTCTGAAAGTTCATGCATTTCTGAGGTTTTTAGTCGTTTGTTGCCACAGTCCCTTTCATAATCTGGTGAAGCCCACAGATCTCTTTGAGAACGCTGCTTTAAATGTATAAAATAAAATGCATACAATTATCGATAAATTAAAGGGAGATATCAAAATATTAAGAAATAAATTTATGATATGTCCATACATGTGCTGCTTGGTTACACAGGTGACATAGTCTAATTGTGTGTCTCAGAGCGACTTAATGTCAAAGTGGTGATGAATGTAAACCGTAACATGATAGAGCTGTGGTTACTGTTGATGACAACCTCAAGTTACTGTTCCTGAGCTCTTGTCACCTTCATTCCTGGATTAAGGAAATGCTCAATTTCACTTGAAAGTTAGCAAAAGCAATAATTTATTTTTTCCTCCTAAGTTCACAGGTCCTTGAATTTCAGCACACCCATACATCTCAGATTGAAAACCTTTATAGGAAGGATCTTTAGCACAGAATCTGGGAAAAGATATTGGAAGGCTTTTTTCCTACTGACTGAAATAACTTTGAGACAAAAAAATTGTCTTCCCAGTTTTCAATCCTAAATGGATTAGGAAAGGATTGATTTAGCTTTTTAAGGTAGATTAAGAAGCAGAAATCCAGAATGTCTCTAGGAGGAACAGTCACAGAAAGTTTGGTTCAACTGTAACAACAAGAATTCAGCATGACAAGTACAGCTGTTAAATTTCAGCCCCCAATCTGCCACTCAGCACCTTGGAATAGTCGTAATCATCACAAGTCACTAGACTGTTTGAGTGCAATTTTTCAGGTATTAATCAGGCAGTCTGCATTAGACACTTTCTACCCACATTATCTCACTTAACCCACAAATAACTCATGAGACTTGAATTATTATCTTTGTGTTATCGAACAGAAACCCAAGGTTTAATTACAGTAATGCCATTAGTAAGGGATGTTATTCATATTGCACTGGAAGGGATTGTTTGGGTTACATATAACAGAAAGCCCAGAAGAAAAGTAAAAAGTATGGGAGTAGCGGTCCAGGCCAGCCCAGAAGTCCCATGAAGTACTTAGGGCCCAAATCTTTCTGCCTGGCTCTTTTTTACCATCCCTCATCTTCATGATCTGAGACACTCTATAGAGTGCCGGCATATCCAGAAGGCAGGAGGGAAGAAAGGGCGAGAAGGAAGGAGGCTAAGGGCACATGCCAGCTATGTTTGCAGGAGCTTTTCCTAAAGTTGCCCTGTAGCACTTAATGACCAAAACCGAGTCACGTGGCTGGCTGCACTGGAGTAGTGAATGTCATCTTATTGTGGAAGGCCGTGTTTCTGTTATTTAGTGGAATGGAGAAAATGTATTCAGGGGTAATGAACAGATTTCTTTGTTACTCAAAAAAGACCAATGGTGGAGCCAGAATGAGAGCCCATGTCTGTCTGTGATGTCTGTGCTCTGAACCTCCATGCTGTCCTGACTCGCTGTCCCCATCTTTAACATGGAGCAGTATACTTGTGAGCCATGTGGCAGAGGCAGTGGGGGCACCTGAGGTCCTATAGGTAAAGGTATTTTTAGTTTTTCAGATAGCAGTTAAGTTCTCACTCCCACCTCCAGCCAGAGCAACAACATCTGTAGGAATATTTTTTGTTCTGTTCTGGGTTTTTTTTCTTTTTCTTTTTTGAACTTCTTAATTATTAAGCTGGCTCTGTCTGCTTTCTCTGTAGGCTCGGCTACCTGTGAAGTGGATGGCACCAGAAAGCATTTTTAACTGTGTGTACACATTTGAAAGTGATGTCTGGTCCTACGGGATTTTTCTGTGGGAGCTGTTCTCTTTAGGTAAGAAGATCCTTGCAAAGGGCACCTTGACTAGATTCAGCATCTTCTTAAAAGGTTTTGCCAATGCCCTGCTTGCTTATGATGAACACTGATTTGCAAACTGTTTGTGCCTCAGGAAGCAGCCCCTACCCTGGAATGCCAGTCGATTCTAAGTTCTATAAGATGATCAAGGAAGGTTTCCGGATGCTGAGCCCTGAGCATGCACCTGCTGAAATGTAAGGGCCAAGCCATTTTCCTTCACAGGATGTTTCCCCTTTTATTTTTCAGTTTAAAGATAGAAACCCAGATGTTGAGGGTTTTTGTTGGCACCATTTGAAATGTCACTTGGTTCCTTTTTATGACACCCTGGTCATTTATGTAGCTTATTTTCATGAAATACAGAATATTTCGTAAGAGCGGTGTTTAATTGTGTGCACCCATTATTCAGATGTTCAGTTGCCATGGGGAAAAAAGCATGAATTGCCTTTGAAATCATTGTACCTGAGGACAGGTCAAAGGCAGCGAGGAGTTGCAGTAAACAATGCTTGTTTTCTAGGTATGACATAATGAAGACTTGCTGGGATGCTGATCCCCTAAAGAGGCCAACATTCAAGCAGATCGTTCAGCTCATTGAGAAGCAGATTTCAGACAGCACTAACCATGTGAGTACACTTAGCCTGTCCCTTCTCTTGTTTCCAGGTGTGTTCTTACTCTCAGACCCTGACAGCGAGGATTACGCAACCCACCCTCTCCCTCTTCTTCCTACCCAATCCCCCTGTTCTGAATCAAAGAAGGATGTGGCATGAGGGCTTGCACGCAGAAGTGTGGAAATATAAGTTTCCACAAGGATTTTCTCTGCTTCCTCTCCCACCCCAAATGCTGGTCATATTCCTTTGTACATGTCAGGCCATTCAGCTTTGGGAGGGTTGGGGTGAGGTGAACTAGAGTAAAAGCATAGAAAAGACAGCTTGTTACTGCAGTGAAATAAGCCTTCTGCTCAAACAAGCATAGCCAGAAAATGGCAGAGAGCTGTCATGCCCACAGCCATGTGGAATGAAAAGTTGTTTGAAGTTGGGAGCTCCTTCCCTGTGAATTGGGACGGGGGAGTCAAAACTCATATCCATTATTTCCTTTCCTGCTTTTAAGGGAGAATTAGTGATCCTTGCTTTGGTTCAGACTTTTTTAACTGCTAGGCTCCCCCACCCCCATCCCCACCACCCTGGATTGTATACTTAGAATAATCCTTTCTTTTCCAAGAGTAAACTACTGATACCTTGGGGTTAAAACTTGCTCTTTTGGGTGTCAACACGTATTTCAAATTGAGCAGCATTTTCCATCAGGTGCTTGATTCTCAGCTGAAGACCCTGGAAGAGCCAGAATTTCTAAACAAATTGCATCAGTGGTTGGGTTTTAGTTGCTAGAGAGACTTATAAGCCTTTAAAATAGGCTTGATAGTATTTGTTGCCAGATAGGTTCCATCAGCAAAATACATTTTTAATTTGCTGTCACTTCTTAGGTAATCAGGCCCTAGGGGAGCAAGTGGTAAAACAAAATTTGTACATTCTTTTGTCAAGATGACTTGGTTAGGGATTGCAAAGTTCTTGTAAACCTCTCCTGTTTAAGAGTCCTCATCCGTCATTTGCAATTCTGAAGCTGTAAATGGGTTCTTTGCTACCCCATTTGCTGTAGAGACTGGTGTATTGACCATGAACTTGTTTTCCTCAGGCTTACTCCAACTTACTGAACTGCAGCCCCAAGCCAGAGCACCCCGTGGTGGACCACTCCGTGCGGATCAATTCTGTGGGCAGCAGCGCATCTTCCACCCAGCCTCTGCTCGTGCACGAAGATGTCTGAAGTGGAGCGAGTGTCTGGGGGGTCTCCCATCAAGAATGATCCCCACTCTTTCATTTTCTATGATGGTTATTGTTTTCCTTCGACTTGCATCCTACTCCAGGGTAGTGGACGCCCCCTGTAATCCTGTCCTATGAGCACACTATAGTGAGCAATGACTTTTGTCATCTGGCGCCACCCCATTGCAAAGGTCCGAAATGCATATATTCCCAATAGTAAAGGGGGCTACCTTTAATGAAAAAACCTAACTTGGAGAAGCAGGGGCTAGACACTCTGAATCCTTTCCAAGTCTTCTCCAGTTTCTGCTCAAAGAGTGTGGTTGATAGTTTGAATACATGACAGTAGTCACCTTCGGCTTTAGCAAACATCCATGAGGTAGAAAATAGAACATTGTTAGAACAATGGACAGAAGTCTATGACTATCTGGGCTTCAGAAATTTAGTATTTCATGCTGGGAACAAGACATAGGTCATGAGAAATTGCTCCTCCAGCATGAAGACTTGCTGCTATGCATGAGCCTTTGTACTACTAACCTGGTTTCTCATTAATTTGCTGTTAGGGAGCTGAATTGGAGAGAAGGTCCCCCCAGGGAGCATTTGTATATACTCATCTATACATTGTATGTGTTCATGTATTTGAGGGGGGCGATCTCACAAGGAGTGGTTTCTGGATACTACCGTGGCTTAAGTCTGCTGTGTGTAGAAATAGATAAGAGCCAGATAAGTTTGAAGGAAACAGTTAATTTTTTTTTTTAAAAGAAAAAACCTCCAAGCACAATATCTCCTTTTGTAGCCAATGAACTCGCTCTGTAGATTATCCAGAACAAGCCTACCAGCTTCCAATGGCATTGTGCTCCATGGGTTTGATGCCATTTGAAAAGTTACTGATTTACTGCATGACTCCAGCAGGAGTGAGAAACGTGCTGTCTTAGTTGGAATTCTTCTGTAGCAGGAAATAAGATTTAGATTCAGCCTCCTCTGCAGGCGTGTCCTGGACACCGGGCCAGTATCTATGTAGGTGTGTATGTGTGCACGTGTGTGTATGCTTGTAGACAAAGGTTTGGGGGGTTATTCTTGCCCTAAGCCCAAGAAATCCTTTAGTACCCAAGAAGCTTGGCTTTCATCACCAGTACTGCTCTTGTTTCTCTTTACCTAGCTGTCTAGAGAAGCAAACCAAAAGCTTACATAGAGGCATGTGAGAGGCAAAGTGCATAAGTACCTATTTATTTGCAATCCGCCTGCACCTACAGCGCTCAGTTATTTATACTCAACATACTGTACCAGTTCCTTAGGCTTTATTAATGCTACTCTCCCATGGAAAGTTATTTAAATTTTACCCTTTAGGCTGTAGCCTGGATATTATTCTTGGAGTTTACTATTTTTCTTTTTCCTTTTTTTTTTTCTTGTCCTCATCACTGCCCAATAATAAGGGGACCATGTGTACATGGCAGAGTTGGTATGTTGTCTTGCAAGATTCAGGTATGTCGCCTTCACGGTTTTCCCCTCCAAGGTCCCTTAGACTGCATTTAGAGAACTGTGGCCATTCATCCGAAAGTAACCATTTGCACTGGAGTTCTATGCTCTCGCACCTTCCAAAGGTAACAGGTTTTGGTGTTTCGTTGTCACATAAGAGATTGTCATTGTTTGCCATACTTCGAAAACTTCCTTTGCTTTTCTATTTGATTAGAGTAAAAAAAAAAAAGTGGTTGTTACTTGTAGATGTCTAGGTACTTCAGGGGCACTTCTAGAGTTTTGTCTTGGATATTCTTGAAAGTTTATATTTTTATAATTTTTTTTACATCAGGTGTTCCTTTGCTGTGGCTTAATGTTTGAAATTATTTTGTGGCTTTTTTTTTGTAAATATTGAAATGTAGCAATAATGTCTTTTGAATATTCCCAAGCCCACGAGTCCTTGAAAATATTTTTTATATATACAGTAACTTTATGTGTAAATATGTAAGCTGTGCAAGTTTAAAGGATGTTTGTGTTCCATGTGTGTTTTTTTTTTTTCCCTGATATGTTGCTCAATTGTTGACAGTTCTGAAGAATTCTAATAAAAATGTAAATATATAAATCAAATGGATTTTTGATTATTTCATACTTAATGAAATTAACTTTGGAGTGTTAAAGTGACATTAGAAAGTCATGTGCCTGGGTGCATGAGACATGCAAAACAGTTACATGCTAATATACTTGAACATTCAATAGCCATTTGTTAAGATTATAATATATTCTGTATTTTCTGATTTTATTCTTACAACCTATGTTTTCCATTTTAATTGGAAACTAAATACAGGAAACTTTACTTATATAGATAACATTGAGAATTCTACACACTGTTATGGAGATGGGTAGGTTGATTCATCTGAAATGACCACTTTTGTGGGCAAAATAATGGTCAAATAGCAATTTCGTGTAGTTCAATCAAGTATAACTGGCATGTGTCCACTTGATGAATGTCTGAAAATTAAAATGTGCATTTAAGTAAATCACAAGGTTGACATGAGGCATCCCAAGAAAGCACTTTGTATTCTCTTTGACTTGGATTTTGAAGAGAGGCTATTTCACTGGGAGGTGTTTATGCTCCACCCTTCAATCCTGCCCCACTTGCTTCTGGAACTGATTTCAGTTCTATACCTGTCTTGGAAGGAGGTGACTTGTGCTGGTTCATCCAGTGCTGTGTGTGGCTAATGCATCCTCTATTGTCAGGTGGTATCATCCAGACCAGAACCTCCACAGAGCCCGAGATCTTCCAGCTTGAAGCAAAGAACCACCCAAAGCCATGTGATCTAAGAATGTGTTAGGCACCCAGCACTGTCAGTTTTGGTTTCCTTTATCGACATGGCTTCTAGGAAAAGAAAGGGGCAAAAGTGACCTGTAGTCAAAAGAAATCCTTTAAAATCAGGAGGAAATTGTGTGGGCAGGAATACGTCACTAGTTAGTGAAAAACAGACCCACATTTTAGTCAGGTGATTTCCATGAATTTATTACAGACAGGAATGAATGCTAATTGACCACAAAACAAAGAAGTCCTTTCTTTCTGAACATTTGTAATGTCAGCCTTTTTCATGTGTGTGAAATCTTGAGTTAGAAGCAATTCAAGGCCCCCGTATTTTTACAACAGATCTTGAAGGACATTTCATTATAATAATGATGAGAAAGGTCATGATTCCTTAAACATTGTCTCGCTTAAAGTTTCCAAGAATATTTTTCTCACTAGCCCAGCTTGTAATAGCAAAGTTGTGTTGGGCTTTGTGTCCAGACTCAAACGGGACTTAAATCAGTGCCAGCACTGTCTTCACATCCTGCTGTGTGCTTTTGGGCAAATTAACTCTTGAAATCTGAATTTCCTTAATCTTAGTATCTACCTCGATAGATTCATATGAAGCTGCCAAGACTACCTGTTCACATGCCTAATGCATAAATGGTGCTCAAAATGCAAACTTGTCATGGCTAATTATGCTTATTAGGAAGGAAGTAGATGCTCCTGCCACAGCATAACTCACTGTTACTCCATTTAGAATTATGCAGAAAAAAACAGGTTTCTATTGTCTTTTTTATCTATGCAAACACTATTGTGCTAGTTTGCTATGAAATTGACTTTAGTCTACCAATGACCCAAGTCTGTAAGATGTGCTCTTGATACAGAGAAATGTCCACTTTAAGCCAGGAATTTAAGGTTCCAGCCTATCTTCTGGGTTTCTCTTCCATTATCATAGGTCCTTGAATATGTCCTATGTTATTCTGATTCCATTCTCACTTCTTGTCTGTTCTCTCCCACAAACTCTTACCTTTCAACACTGGGAAAATAATATCCATTGAAGTTACCGCTGTATTCCCATAGCACTCCATACTAATTACTGCACTTACTCTCTATTCTGCCTGTTCTTATCTCCTCCACACCCAGATTATACCTAGACTCGAAATCATTAACAAAATCTATATGTGCTGAATTCACTGGCTTCACTGGTCAGCAGGTACTTGTTAGAATAATTATCCAGAAACTCTGAGGTTAAACTCCTTGAGAGGTTATAAGACAATAAGACTTTGTAACACAGGGAACCAGAATTTGACCCCAGATCTGAGTGTCTCTGATGTCTCAGTGATGACAAACACCTGGTCTTCCTGTGCTGGTTTCTCCCCCATCATGTTCATGCAGAACTTACTCATCCACCATAGCTTATTTTCTTTTTTTTTTTAACCTAAGAATGAAATTTATTTCAAAGAATTTAATATTTAAAAATGTTCATATTGCTCATACTTTGGGATTTAAATTATTGTACCCTTATACTTGAATTTCTACCTTTATATACTATATTACTTCCCCATTGTTTCTGTAACAAATTGCCAGACATATTGGTCCATAACACCATAAATTATCTTACAATCAGGTAAGAAGTCCAACACCAGTCCCAAAACATAGCATTTCTTTGATCCAGTTTGCATCATCATGATCCAGTTTGCATCATCATTTACATAAGAATTATGTAAAATAAAATATTAAAAAAATACCAGACAGGAGTGAGAGTGTGACATCATAACAAATAACCCAGAAATATAACAAAATTAAAAAATATAAACCATTTGAAAAATTCAGCACTTTAATGACTAAACTCAAATAATTAATAGAGACAGATCAATGAATTATGACAACAAAATGGAAGATTTTCCCAATATGTAGAATATGAACATGACTGTATTGAGATTAATGTAGAAAATTCTGTGTAAAAAACCTTTATTTACAAATGATAAAATGGAGAATTTTGAAAGTAAATTTTTATTTTACATAGCTTATTTTTATGGAGCCAAGATGCTTTAGAAGTTTTCAGGAAACTCAGACAAGTCACTTGACGTTATCCTAAGGAAGAACCTGGTTCCTTTAAATGGTTACCATGTTTTAAGGTTTAGGAGGCATACTGGTTCTCCATCTCAGACGCTCCTGACACTTCTAGCAAGTGCTTTGTGATTGGTTAATTAATACTTTTTCAATGAATAATAACAATTTTCCATCAGGAGTAAGGGACAGCCATCTGGAAGGAAATGCATCTAGGAAAGACAGAGTGGATGTTTTATACATATCACCTTACCTAGATGCCCCTCAATAGCTGAATGGATAAAGATGTGGCATATATATGTGTGTGTGTGTATATATATATATATATATGTACTTCTCAGTTGTAAAAAAAAATGAACTCTTGCCAATTGAGACAACATGGATAGAACATGAGTGTATTATGCTAAGTGAAATAAACAGAAAAACAAATACCATATAATTTCACTCACATGGAATATAAAGAAACAAACCATATGAACAAAATAAAACAAACTCTTGAATACAGAGAATGGATCGTGGTTACCAGAGGGGAAGGAGTTGGAAGTGGGGTGAATTGTATGGTGGTGATGGAAACTAGACTTTTGGTGGTGATCAGTATATCTAATTATAGTGCTGTGCACCTGCAGGTTATATAATGTTATAAACCAATTTTATTTCAATCAACATTTATTAAAGCGATAATACAGGGAGGTGGTTATCTCCAGGTGAAAAATATTTTGCTTCTGACTGGCTCCCTTTTGCCTTATTAGCTTTCCTGGCTCTAAGCAGTGGAGTTGAGAGGCAAGTTCTCTAGCCTGTTTCACCTCTGAATACTGGAATTGTAGATAGTAGTTCATCCATCTAGTAGGTATATGACCCAGCCCTTTATTGTCCTCTTCTGGACTCTGGATGATCTGTAGCCATTTTATGTTACCTTCAAAAATACAAGAAAAGATAAAACAAATCACTTTGTTCCTTATTACCAATTTCATGAAATGGTGGTAAGAATGAATGGTGACTGAAACAAAAATAAAGGTGCACTTATCTGTTGATTTCTGACTTTGCAGAGGGCACTGGGTCTGAAGTGTAGAGAGGGCAAATCAAGAACTTTAAATCAGTGAGTGAGTAGGTGAAAATACCACCTTTCCTTTGCTGGAACATTTGTTATTGTTGGTTATCAATTAACAAGTTTTACCCATATGTCCCTTCACTGTGGATTCCACTTAGTTAAATGTAGCTTTTAGGATGTTGGTTCTTCTGTTCTGTGAGGGGTTCAACCTCACAAGGGCTGGGTCCTCAGGCTTAATACTCCTAGTTGAAAGATGTTTTTGAGTGGCTCGCCTATGTGTCTCCGTCCATGATTGGCTTTGAAGTGTGCGTGCTTTTTTAAGCACATCAGCAGGACCATAGTGTGTTTTATCAGACTGACCTTTTTCTCTGTGGTCTGTGGCTTATCAGCCTTTCTTGTTCTATAGCAAATGAAGAATGAGGACAGGCAAAAGGACATTTTTATGGCTGCTTGTCCCAAGATGTGAACAGGCATTGGGGGCAGCTGGAAATATTTGTGTCCAAGCAACAGGCTATATGGCCTGAGTGCCAAACCTCCCTTATCTGGCATCATTTGCCTCTAATCAAGACACATTTTACTCTTGTGGAATGCCTGGTATAAAACCCTGGTATGGGTGAACTGTCTTTCTCCACTGCTTATATCCAGATATTCCAGTTGATGATCTATGATGTGAAAAGAGTTTTCATTTGGTGACTAATCAATTAACAACTACATGGAGTGGCTTTATTGTGAAGGACACAGAAACCTCAAACAGGCACAATGAAAAACAATGCTGTAGGGTCCTCCCCAGTGGCGCAGCGGTTGAGCGCTGGGTTGCAAGCTGTCCGCAGCCTCTGAAGCACCAATTTGATCCCCGGCTGCCTGGCGTGGGTCCCCCATGGCACGCAGACCTCTCCTGCTGCCCGCTGCCCACCGCTCTGGCTCTGGTGAATCCTCTCACCCTCCCGCGCTTCTGACTGTACCCAGTGCTTGCATAAACAAATAAATCTTTAAAAAAAAAAGAAAAGAAAAACAATGCTGGAGTTAATTAGTTCTGTCTGCCTGGATAGGGTATGGGAAATGCTTTATGTATGCTAATTATAATATAGCTTCCTTGGATAGTTCTTATTGCCATCTAAATCCTTTGTGTACATCAACTAATCTGAACCTCTCAATATATAACCATAGGTAATAGCTATT